CAGACTTACGCAAATTCAAAGAACAAGATAAAGTTATCAAGTTCTTGAAGGGCCTTGGTGACCAATACGCTAATGTTCGATCCCAGATTATCCTGATGAAACCACTACCAACTCTTGATAATGTGTTTAATCTGGTTCTTCAACAAGAACGTCAATTCGACCTTCTTTCACCTTCTACTTCTTCGATTGAGTCTCAATCATCTGTGAATCACCTTTCTCAAACACCTTCTCGTTCTTCTCACAACACTGGTCGTGGTCGTGGTCGTGGTGGCCATGGAAACAGACTCTGTACCCATTGCAACCGCACCAATCACACCATTGAGACTTGCTTCTTGAAACATGGTTATCTCCCTGGATTTCAACAACGCAAGCCTACTACATCTGTGGGGAATTCTGCTGATTCTACAGTGAATTCGATTCAAGATGCTGCATCCACATCAAACACCAGTCCAAGTGCTTTGTCTATGATTCAAGAACAATACACTCAGATTCTGCAGCTCCTCCAACAATCTAATTTGCAATCTCCTTCACTTCCCTCGATTAATTCAGTTTATACTGCTAATTCTGTGTCCAATACCTCTCCTCATACTTCCTCTGGTAAGAATTCCTCAAACATTCCTTGTCATAACTGGTGGATCATTGACACAGGTGCCACTGATCACATCACCCATACCTTTGCCAGTTTCGTTTCCACATACCACATTGCACCTAAATCTATGACAATGCCTAATGGTGACTCTGTCACTACAACTATTGCTGGTTCAGTTTTACTATGTGGTTCACTTGTCCTTCACAATGTTTATTACTTTCCTTCATTTCATGTCAATATTATTTCTGTCACCACTCTTTTTGACTCCACTTTATATGATGTGAAATTTTCTCCTAATTGCTGTCAAATTATGCAGTTGCCCCAATTCAAGATGACTGGATTTACAACTAGGAGGATTGGCAAATTGTATGTTGTTGATGCCACCCCACCTAAGACCATCTCTCCCACATCTGGATCTGTCAACACCTCCTCTTCTCCCCAATTCGATCCTGCTACTATTTGGAATCTTAGGCTTGGACACTTAAGTCCCTACATACACAAATGTATTTTCTCTCAATTTCCCTTTGTCACCTACAATGACAATCATAAGCCCTGTAACACTTGCCATTTGTCTAAGCAAAAACATTTGCCCTTTACTCACAGTAATACTAAGTCTGTTGCCATCTTCGATTTACTTCATGTTGATATTTGGGCCCCTCTTTCCACACCTTCGATATGTGACCACAAGTATTTTTTAACCCTCGTAGACGATTACATCAGGTTTACTTGGACAATTTTTATGGCCAACAAAAGTGAAACCAAAAACCATTTAATTCACTTCATATCCTTTATCGAAACCCAATTTAACAAGAAACTCAAGTGCATTCGAAGTGATAATGGTCCTGAGTTTCTCATGACCACTTTCTACCTTTCTAAAGGAATCATTCATCAAAGGTCTTGTGTGGAAACGCCTCAACAGAATGGTATCATGGAAAGAAAACATCAACACATTTTGAATGTTGCCCGTGCCCTCTCTTTCCACTCTCACCTCCCTCACAATCTTTGGCACCTTTCCATATAACATGCCATTCATATTATAAACCGTCTTCCCACTCCTCTTTTAAACAACCACTCTCCATACCAAAAACTCCATTCTATTCCTCCCAGCCTTAGCCATATGAGAGTCTTTGGTTGTCTTGCCTATTCTTCGACCTTGCTTAACCATCGCACTAAATTCGAACCAAGAGCAAGGAAATCTATTTTTCTTGGCTACAGGGAAGGCACAAAAGGCTACCTTCTCTAAGATCCTATCACACATGAATTTTACATTTCAAGGAATGTATTCCTTTATGAAATTGTGTTCCCTTTTGTATCCATCCCACCTGCACCTAATCCTATAATTCCTACTCCTGACCCTCCTTCGATTGATTCACCTGATATTTTCACCAACATTCCACCCAACTTACCTCCACCATCAAATGAACCTTCCTCTCCTACCTCTCTCCCCCAGCCAGAATCTCCCACTAACCTCTCTTCTTCCTCGAATGACACTAACAACTCCCCTTGCCCCTCCCCTCCTGTGCCAACCAGAAAATCCAATCGAAATAGTAAACCTCCAGCTTATCTATCCGATTATCACTGCAATTTGCTATCCCCCATGTTGCCAGCATCTGACTCAGGTTCCTCTAACTACCCTCTCTCTTCTGTATTATCTTATAGCCAATGTAGTCCTGATCACAAATTATTTTGTCTATCCATAAGTTCTTTCACAGAACCAAAAACCTATAAACAAGCCTGCAAATTTGATTGTTGGAACAATGCTATGAAATTTGAGTTAGATGCTCTTGAATCTACAAATACTTGGTCTGTTGTTGATTTGCCTGCAGGCAAACAATCGATTGGTTGCAAATGGGTCTACAAAATCAAGCATCATGCTGATGGATCCATCGAACGATACAAGGCACGTTTAGTAGCGAAAGGATATACTCAGCTGGAGGGGGTGGATTATTTCGACACTTTCTCACCTGTTGCGAAGCTTACTTCTATTCGAACCCTTCTCTCAGTGGTTGCCATTAAGAATTGGCACTTGGAATAACTTGACGTCAACAATGCCTTCCTTCATGGTGATCTACATGAGGAAGTGTATATGGATCTGCCTCCTGGATTCATGCTTTCTGCTTCTTCGACCAACGAAGTCTGCAATTCTTCGACCAACAAACTAATTTTCACTTCGAGCAACAAAGTCTGCACTTCTTCGACCACCAAAGTTTACATTCCTTCGACCAACAAAGTTTGCACTCCTGCGACCAACAAATCTTGCACTCCTTCGACCAACGAAGTTTGCACTCCTTCGACCAACGAAGTTTGCACCTCTTCGACCAACGAAGTTAGCACTTCTTCGACCAACGAAGTTGGCACTTCTTCGACCAACAAAGTTTGCAAATTGCATAAGTCACTATATGGCTTGAAGCAGGCTAGCAGACAGTGGTTTTCGAAATTGTCCACTGCCCTTATCTCTCTTGGCTACTCATATTCTTCTGCTGATCATTCTTTTTTCACAAAATCACATGACTCTTCTTTTACTGTTTTATTAGTCTATGTTGATGATATTGTCTTAGTCGGTAATGATTTGCAGGAAATCAAATATGTCAAATGCTTCCTTGATTCCACTTTCAAAATCAAGGACCTTGGTAGGCTAAAATATTTTCTTGGTCTAGAAGTTGCCAGATCCACTCACGGCATTTTTCTCAATCAGAGAAAGTACGCTTTGGAATTGCTCGAAGACAGTGGCTTATTGGCTACTAAACTTTGCTCTACTCCCTTCGATTCCTCCTTGAAGCTTCATGATGATAACTCACCACCTTTCGAAGACGTCACAGCTTATCGAAGGCTTGTTGGAAAACTTCTATATCTGACTACCACCAGACCTGACTTTGCATTCATCGTTCAACAGCTCAGCCAATTCATCTCACATCCTATGCAAGTTCATCATTCTGCAGCAATTCGAGTACTCAAGTATCTCAAAGGTGCTCCTGCCAAGGGTTTGTTCTATTCATCTTCCTCTCCACTCAAACTCTCTGGCTTCGCAGACTCAGATTGGGCAAGTTGCCCTGCTACCCGCAAATCCGTAACTGGATATTGTGTGTTCCTTGGCAATTCCCTCATATCCTGGAAATCCAAAAAGCAGTCTACAATATCCAAATCCAGTTCAGAAGCAGAATACAGGGCCTTGGCAAGCTTGACTTGTGAATTGCAATGGCTGCAGTATTTGTTCAAGGATCTCCACATCTCTTTCGATCAACCTAGCTCAGTCTATTGTGACAACAAAAGTGCTATCTACCTTGCTCACAATCCCACCTTTCATGAACAGACAAAACATATCGAAATTAACTGCCACATCATTCGTAGGAAAATCCAAACTGGTCTCATCCATCTTTTACCAGTTTCTTCTGCTGCTCAACTGGCAGATGTTCTCACCAAGCCTTTGGCAGCTCCCTCTTTCGATTCTCTTGTTTCTAAGCTTGGTCTATTAGACATCCATAGTCCAGCTTGTGGGGGGCTATTACATGATGAAAATAATACTGTTTAGTTTATTACTAAACAGTTAGTTTTAGTTTGTTATAGTTTGTTACAATTCTGTTTAGTTTGTTACTAAACAGTTTGTTACTTTAACAGTATATATAATGTTGTTTTGTATATTCCAAAATATAATGAAAACTATGAGTTTATTCCAAAATTAACATATCTATTGTTTCTATTTGATTTCAAAAAGAAAAAGAGAAAGAAAAAAAAAAGAAGACGGCGACGAAGAAAGAAGAAGTTGTAGAACGAAGATGTGCGTCCGAGAGAAAGATAAAAGAAATATAGATTAGAAAAGATAGATGGAAGATGTGAGGGAAAGATAGATTAGAAAAGAAATATTAAAAAAAGGTGATGCACTTGAGGGAGACAAAATGAGAAAGTAGAATGGTAAAAGCTGGATATAGAATGCAAAGCAAATAAATGGAGTCTTCTTAAAACATCCACATGTAGTGTTTAGAAGCAGCAGAGTAATTCTGTATTTTTCAGGGCGCTAATTTTTCTTTTCATTCAAAATTAATTACATTTCTCGATTTATATGTAATGTGGTAAAAATAACATACATTTTGAAATAAGTGGAGTGTTTATTTATTAAAATTGATCACTTGAAGTAGAAGAGGTTTTATGAATTCGTCTGTTTATCTTTTGGTAACTTGGACACATTCATTTACTTTTTTAGATAATGATTAACCTGTAACTAAATCATTGATTAAAGGAAGTTAAACAGTTTTTTACATTTTCCCACAAAAATAAAAAAGAAAAGATGTAAAGGCAATAAGTTACGTTATATAGGCCGTGGAACCTAAACTTTTCATATTCTACAATATTTTCACTTCCACTACTACTACTGCTACTACCATACCACCCTTTCTTTCTCAGTATATGCATGGCAATGGAAAGACAAGGCTCAAACAAGAAGAAAATCCTTTACAACGATTATGGCTTCATGGATATTGTTTTTTCTTGGTCTATTGAATATATTCTTGATGAAGATTCATACAAGAATCAGGTTGGTTCTTGACATTATTCCTGCGTTTTATCTACTTTTATTATCTGTAAGAAATTCTTGATCTTAATTTTTTGAGTCTGTCTGTTTTATTGCATTCAGGTTGACAAGATTGGACTGTCGTTTGATTCTACCAGTCATTATCTTGGATCATATAAATATCCATTGCTTGAAGAAACTCGAGCAACACTATCCTCGAGTATGGAACTTATATGCCAAGCACCTTATGGCAAGGTGCTTGGACTTAAAGAGGCAAAACCATTTGATAACAGAAATGGTGATGAAACAGAAAAAACATTCAAAGATAAAATGTATAACTTGAAAATAGATGGATGGGAAAAGAGGTTTGTTCATGGTAGAGAGGCATACAAAACATTACCTGGTGATGTTTTGGTTTTGACCGATTATAAACCTGAATCAGTCAATGATTTGCAAAGATATGGAAGAATGTGGTGTTTTTTGTCAATTGTGAAAACAGATGATGACAATGAAAATATGGATTCTGTTTCTTTTAAGGTCAAGGCATCAAAAGATCTTTATCTTGATCAGTTGAAATACAAATCTCTTTTTGTTGTTTTCTTGACAAATGTTGGTTCTTATAGAAAAACATGGACTTGTCTCCATATGAATCATGGTAATTTAAAGCTTTTCAAGCAAATCTTGAGCACCAATAATGATGAGGTAACAAACCTGTTTTCTAGTTATGCTATTCTATTTCAGTTTTACTATATCATCTTACTGTCATTTCATCAATGTTGATATCGTGTGCGGTGTGTGTATCGTTTGAAATATTTGGTTATGAAACTTGTGCTACAACTGATGACTGTATGTATGATGCAAAACAGGTCAAGGGAAGTTGTGATTGCATCTCCCAATCTGATGCTATATGGGATGATTGTTCATATCTAAGAGTATCATCTGAGCTGAATGAGTCGCAAAACAATGCGATTCACGATTGTATTTCTGGCATTCGTTGCAATCACAACTCTATTGTGAAGCTTATTTGGGGTCCACCTGGCACTGGAAAGACCAAAACCTTGGGAACACTTCTTTTTGTTCTAATGAAAATGAAATATAGAATCCTTGTATGCGCTCCAACGAATGTTGCGATCAAGGAAGTGGCTTCACGTGTGTTGAACATAGTGAGAGAGTCACTTGGTAGCAAAAATGGTGATTACTTCTCTTCTGCAGGTAACATTCTGTTGTTTGGAAACAATGAGCGGCTTGATGTTGATAATAATGAGGTTGAAGATATATTTTTGGATAACCGAATGCAACAGCTCAGGAAATGGTTATCGCCTCATACGGGATGGAGAAGTTGCCTAAATTCAATGAATGATTTACTCAAACATTGTGCTTCTGATTATCAAATATTCATCCAGAATAGAAGCTATAAGCCGAAGTCATTTGTGGAGTTTCTGAAAGAGAAATTTCATTTTAGAGCATTGCAGCTGAAAGAGTGCATTTCCAGCTTGTGCACTCATGTACCGATGTGTTTCATATTAGAACATAACTACAGGAACTTAGTGTGTTTAAATGAGAAACTTGAGTCATTTCAAGAAATGCTGTTTCAACAGAATCTGGCTTCTGAAAAATTGGAAACACTTTTCTCTAATATGGAAATTTCAGTTGATTCGTCTTGGAATTTAAAGAACAGTGCTGAAGAACATGTGTTCAAGAAGAGAACTGAATGTTTATCAGCTTTAGAAACTGCAAAAGATTCACTTCACAGACTTGATTCAATCAGATTTACTAACGATAATTCAGTTAAAGAGTTTTGTTTTGAAAACTCGTCAATAATTTTCTGTACAGCTGCTACTTCATTTAGGCTGCACGCAGTTTCTATGAAGCCAATTAACATTTTGGTGATCGATGAAGCAGCGCAACTTAAAGAGTGTGAATCTATCACACCTTTACAACTACCAGGAATAAACCACGCCATTCTTGTTGGTGACGAGTGTCAACTTCCTGCCATGGTTCGAAGCAATGTAAGCATATACTAAAACATATTTCTCTATTAATGAACTCATCATCTTTAATCAACAAAATTAATTTTCCGTTCGTGATTGTTATTTTTGTAAGGTTTGCACTGAAGCTGGTTTTGGGCGAAGCTTATTCGAGAGGTTGAGCTTATTGGGTAGCCCAAAAAGTCTTCTCAACATGCAACATAGGATGCATCCTGATATAAGCTCTTTTCCAAATTCATATTTCTATAGTAGCAAAATTCAGGATGCACCAAATGTTAAAAGAAACTACACTAAGCAATATCTTCCTGGGCCAATGTTTGGTCCCTATTCTTTTATAAATGTAGCCGGGGGAAGAGAAGAGTTTGATGACGATGGGAGGAGTTATAAGAACATGGCTGAAGTTGCTGTTGTCATGATGATACTAAAGAATTTGCACAAAGGTTTGTCCATTTATGCAATTTCTTACGTGTAATTTTAATGCTAGCACACAATTTGACAGACTGAAAAAAGTGTTAGATGACAGAAAGTTATAAGCCTCTATTTTATTCTTTTCAGCATGGGTTCCTAAAAAGGAGAAACTCTCCATCGGAATAGTTTCTCCATATGCTGGACAAGTACTCAAAATCCAAGAGAAACTTGAAAGGTTTAATGGATTCAGTGTGAATGTGAAATCAATCGATGGTTTCCAAGGCGGTGAACAAGATATTATTATATTATCAACTGTAAGAACAAACCACAGGTCTTCTCTACAGTTTGTTTCATCTCCTCACAGAACAAATGTGGCTCTCACAAGGGCTAGGTAGATCTTGTACTCTTATTTTTCCTATGATTTTTTGTTTTTGTTTTAAAGGAATGTTATATGTTTATATAAAAGCTTCTGCTGTTTTTCTTATCATTGCTAGGCATTGTTTATGGATTTTGGGCAATGAAAGGGCCCTTGTAAGGGATGAGAATGTCTGGAAGAATTTGATTTTTGATTCCAAGAAACGTGGATCGTTCTTTCATGCAGATCAAGACCCCGAAATGGCTAAGGCTATCTTGGAATCCTTAAAAGAGTTAGATCAATCACTTGATTTGCTCGATACAAATAGTGCTATTTTCAGAAATACATTGTGGAAGGTATTTATATTGATGCTGCTATAGACTTTATACTTTTTTTATTAGCTGTTTATTGTCATTATAAATGTTTAAGTTCATTAAAATTTTGTATGAATAAACTTCACCACTTCTGCAGGTTCATTTCAGTGATAAATTTCGTAGATCCTTCATGAAGGTGCGTCTACAGAATAGTAAATTCTTAGTTATAAATGTTTTGAAAAGAATTGTGAGTGGGTGGAGACCAAGAGGGCGGAGTGTTGAATTCATTTGTGAAGGTTCTTCTAAGATTCTGAAACATTTTAAGGTTGAGAATCGCTACATTATTTGTTCAGTAGAGATTGTGAAGGACTTGAGGTGCTACATTCAGGTTCTCAAAATTTGGGACCTAGTGTCTGTAGAAGAGATCGCACGATCAGCTAAACACATAGACACTGAATTTAAAAGATACACCGATAAATATATAGTTTGCTCCAAAGAGAGAGGTTTTGATGGGTAAGCTTTTCTTTTTAATGAATTTCAAAAAACCCGAGATCATGGTTTTAAATTGCAGTAACAATTGTAATTGTGTTATAATTCTTAATATTGCATACAAATGCGGCAAATGCAGCCTTAGTTGCCTCTATAATTCGGCTGCATAGGTCTTAACCCTGACTATATTACTTAGCCTTAACTCTTGTTTCTTTGTTAACAGGAAAGTAGAGTTTCCTTTGAGCTGGCCAATAACTGCAAATATCCAAAAGTTAAAGAGTGTTGGTACTGATAATACCAAGGAGGCTGCTTTAGTTGTTTCTGAAGATGCAAATACTGCGGTTAAAAACTCAATGATTGAAGAGAGTACTTTGTTGATGAAGTTCTGCAGCATTTCACTAGATTATACACCTAATGGCCGTGATGCTATTGAAATGGATCTTCCATTCGAGTTAACAGACGAACAATGGACTATCATTACCGTCCCAAAGAGTACATTTGTACTCGGTCGATCAGGCACGGGAAAAACAACAGTTCTTTCTACAAAAATGATTCTAAATGAAAAACTGCACCATACTGCTGTCGAAAGAGCTTATGGTCCCATAGACAATGCAAATGAGTCAAGTGAGAACGCTGTGCAGTTTAAGAGACCCATATTACGCCAGTTATTTGTGACATTGAGCCCTGGACTTTGTCAAGAGATCAAACACAATGTTTCTTGTTTTAAAAGGTAATGTGGCTTCTTCTACAATACTTGTGATTTTTCTTATTTAGCCAAAAAAATTGTCCTCTCGTAATTTAATTTGTTTGCATACAGGTCTCTAGGTGAGAGTATCAATGTAGATATTGATGTTGTACCAGATTCCTTTCCTGATCTTCCATCCAATTTATATCCTCTTGTAATAACATTTGGCAAATTTTTGTTGATGCTTGATATGACATTGGGTAATTCTTACATTAAGCATCAAAAGAAGGAAGTGAACTTTGAAAGGTTTGATTCGTTATACTGGCCTCATTTTAACTCTCAACTGATAAAAAAATTGGATTCTTATCTTGTGTTCACTGAGATAATGTCACACATAAAAGGAGGCGTAAAAGAAGCTGAGATTGGCAAGTTGAGTCGAAAGGACTATTGTACTTTATCTCAGAGTCGATCGTCGAGTAGTTTGAGCATGGAAACAAGAGACATGATATACGATATCTTCCAAAACTATGAAAAAATGAAGATGAAAAAGGGAGAATTTGATGTGTCCGATATTGTAATTGATCTCCATCATAGACTAAAGATGAATGGTTACAAGGGTGATATAATGAACTATGTGTTTATTGATGAAGTGCAAGATCTTACAATGGCTCAAATAGCGCTGTTCAAACACATTTGTCGAAATGTTGAAGAGGGTTTTGTTTTCTGTGGTGATACAGCCCAAACAGTTGGAAGAGGTATTGATTTTAGATTCCAAGATGTAAGATCACTGTTTTACCAGAATTTCGTGTTAGAATCCAAAAGTCGATTTCCGGATAAAAAGAAAGAGAAGGTGAAAGGTTGTATATCCGATATTTTCATGTTGAGTCAGAACTTCAGTACTCATGCTGAGGTACTGAAGTTGTCTCAAAGTGTCATTGAACTTCTGTTTCATTTCTTTCCAAATTCTATTGACATGTTGAAGGTTGAAACTAGTTTGGTATATGGAGAACCTCCCATTGTTGTACTATCTAGGAATGGAGAAAATCCAATTGTAACAATTTTGGGAGAAAATGGATACAATGGTGAGAACATTGGAAGGTTTAGTGCAGAACAAGTAATCTTGGTAAGAGATGATTCAACCAAGGATGAAATCATGCAGCTTGTTGGGAAACAAGCTCAAGTTTTAACCATTCTAGAGTGCAAGGGCCTCGAGTTTAAGGTAATTTGTTTCAACACAATTTGATTTGTTTGATCTGTTATATTGTTATTATTTATTATTTCTAATATGGTCTATTTTGTTTTTGGAATATTTGTAGGACGTGTTATTGTATAACTTCTTTGGTTCTTCACCGATGAAAAGGCGATGGGGGATAATTTATGAGTACATGAAGGAAAAGGGTATGTTGGCTTCAAGTTCGCGTATTAACGGTCAAAGTTTTGTTGACTCAAAGCATAAAGTTTTGTGTTCTGAACTGAAGCAACTATATGTTTGTTTAACTAGAGCAAGGAAGAGGTTGTGGATTTGTGAGGAGGATGAAGATGAGTTTGGTAAACCTATGTTTTGTTATTGGGAGAAGAAGAATCTTGTGCAATTTAAGATACTAGATAGTTCTGTTAACACAATGAAGGTTTAAGGATGAAAAATGAGAGGAAACAATTGATAAATTTTCCAGTGTTTTGCTGAATTTTGGGTTTCTCTATGAAAAAAGCATGTATATGTGTTTTTGCAATATGCATTTTATTTTGAAACACAAAGAGGATAGAAAGGGGATTGGATTAAGTGACTTTACTGTTTTGGTAACTTCGTGACTTTAGGCAAATTAAAAGGTAAATGAATGATTGGAATGTATTACTTGAGAGAGAAAAATTGATTTTGAGATAAATAGAGGCAAAGTTACAAATGTCACACAATCCCATATTCCACACCACACCCTTCACCTACCTTTTGATTGAATCTTGGTTCTCAAGTTTGAGTGAAGAGTTGGCCTATCCTCCATGGTTTCAAATTGTGTTTCACATTCTCACATGAATACGGTTATATATTAGTTCCAATAATTTTGCTATTATTAAAATGCTACTAATATGTTTGCCAATATTCAAAGTGTCTCACAGTACCAACATTTGAGATTGCTTAAAAAAATGAGAATTTCTTACCCCATTCTAAATAGAAAAGGGACACTTTATGCAATTTTGAATCTTTTTCTCGAAAAACAGAAATTACACAAAACAGGTCAAATGTGGTTTCACCATTTAAAATGTAAAAAACGATACCCGAGGTATACCTTCTGTTCTTAATTGGAATTTTGTTTTTGGTTCTATTATCAGGAAGATTGAATTTTGTTGCCACCTCGATATTTTATACATAATCGAAAGTATAATCATGTTTGATCACCACCGTTTCTTCTTTCTTTCCTTAAAACCTCTCAAAACCCTTTGTAAGAACAAAATTTGGTTCTACAATATTATCTCCGAGTTTTGATGATAACAAATGAATATGATTCTATGAATAATTTTGTTGTACTAATGTTTGTTATTGTTGAGTACTTAACAAACAAGTTCTGTTTCTGATGGATGGCGTGACCAAGACATTAAAAGAGAATTGATTCTGCTTCTACGCTACACAAATGCAATAGACTCAAGATTTTTATCCTGATTTACTTAATCTCAAACTACTTCAGTCCACCCGGCAAAGTGATTCCACCTCTCTCCAACGAGGACTTAATCCACTAATCAAATAGATTACAAAACTACTTTGACAACTGCCAAAGTCTTCTTGAGTATGACCATAATCCGGTTTATCTCAAGGAACTATATTTTAATCAAAGAACAATTAATTGTGTACTATATATTTTTCGTTACAAAACTATATCGCTACTGTGATGTATTACACAATTTGAGTATTTGAAAGAATATGAATATTTGCAGCTTTTTGAGATGTATGAGCAGTCGTTCGTGAAAATCATAAACAATTTATCCTTTGAGCTTGTTTATATAGGCGTGGAAATCTGTCTAAAATAAAACGTAATGGACATTCAATGCACTTTCCATACTGAGAAGATTCTTGTTTGAATGAAGTCGTTGCATATGATACTGTTTTAATTGAAACTTAACGCTTCAGAACTTGGGAATCTTGCATGCTACTTTACTTCAAAACTTTGATGACTCAGAGATATGAGGATCTGTTGACGCATTAGACTCTGTTCAGAATTAGAGTATCTATTACTTTAGCGCAGATTCTGATCATCATTCTTCAGAACATTTTGATTTTCTCAACTTGAAAGCTTCTGTGGCTTAACTTCTGATGTCATTTCAGTCAGAACTTCTGTATAAAATACAACACAAATTTAGAGTGCATATTTGTTCTTTGTGTTTGTTATCATCAAAATTTTAATTAAGGATTGTAGAATTATACTATGTTCTAACAATCTCCCCCTTTTTGATGATGACAAAAACTAGGATTTTCAATAAAAAATATAGAACAAAAAGCTTAAGAGAGTCTCCCCCTGAGTTGAGTACTCAGATAGAGATGAGTTACTTCCCTGAAGTTCCTTCTCGCCAGAGCTTTTGATGCATCTCCTTCTGTCCTTATCAGAATATGTTCCTATTCATGCTTTCAGAAAAAAAATAGAAGTTAAGATATTCAGAATGTTTGAGACTTTGTCCCGGTATACTGTTATTGAAAATATCTGACGTTCTCCCCCTTTTTGTCAGGTATCAAAAAGAAATATAATCAGAGTAAAAAAGATGATTTATATTGAAAACAGAATGCAATGACATTTTTCAGAAACAAAGAGGATAAGATGAAGAATACCGAATATAAGTTAAAGAAAATCTAAGATGGAGGGGGAAGTCGTGTGAACAACGCTTCCAGCAAGCTCTTAATCTGAGTGCTTGATTCTTCCTGCTTTCCCAGAATATCTTTGATTTCTTTTGTTGTATCTTCTTGTTTGTCCAATATATCTCTGATCTCTTTGTTTGTGTCTTCTTGCTTATCCAGCCTGGCAGGGATTAAAATATTCTCCTTCTTCAACTCTTCCAGAGTTTGCATGACTAGAGACGAAGTTGGTGTATCTTCAGGGGTTGCATGTCATTCATAACACTTTGCAGCCTCTTCTGATTGAACAACTTCTTCTGTTGCAATTTCCTTTTCTGGAGAAGTAGTCAGAGGGTGACTATCATAATCTGGTTCAGTGGCTTCTGAAGGTTGGTGCTCTTTCCAGAGAGCATTTTCCAGCAGAAGAATTTCTTTCTTGTCCCAGTGACTTAGAACTTGATCTTTGAAGGCTTTCAGCTGATCACTGAAGTTCTGCTGAGCCATCTCATAGCTCAATTCTTTCAGCCTCTGGAATTCAGAGTTGAACCATTTTATGAATCTATCCCACAGAGAATCAGAAGCAGCATGATTAGAATTATCTGGACTTGCTTGCTTAAAAGAAGTAACCCATTCCTGTATTTCTGTTTTAAAAATCAACAAGTTCTTACCAACATCTAATTTGGTTAAGGTTGGTTTGGGTTTGAGAATGACAATTTTATTTGAGGTGGAAGCTAGATGGTCCAGCGCTTCTAGATCAATGACAGTTCCGAGATGATCAGCTGGACGGTTAATAGGTGAGGGGGTAGAAGAATAAAAAATCAGGATTGGTGAGTGAGGAGTGTTTGGTGGTGTGGAATCATATGGTGAAGGTATTTCTGGAATATCATGAATGGAGAGAGGTAAACGAACCATAAAAGATTCTGTTATTCTAGGAATTAGGGTAGTGGTATCAGAGTCTGAAAGGGAGTCTTCTGATTGGTTTGCGGTAGCGTGTCAATTTTCTGGTTCAGGTGTTTCAGAATTTGGATTTTCAGATTGAGGAGTGATAGGGTTTTCATTTTCTAGTTGGGGTGAGTTGAGGTTTTGATGTTCTGGTTGAGGAGAGTGTGGTTGTGGATTTTCTGGTTGTTGAAACTGAATATTTGGATTTTTTGGGATTGGTGAGTGAAAGTCTTGATCAAACAGTTCAATATCAGAGAGAACTCTTGCAAGTTCTGGTTGATTTTGTTATGGATTTGGATTGGGGGAGTGAGGTTCATTTAAGAAATTTCCAAGAGTTACAGATGGATCAAACTCTATGTCAAAATCCTCAAATTTTTGTGGTGAGGGATTTTCTGTTGGTTGATGGGGAATGGTTTCAGATGTTGGAACATCTATTGATTCTACAACAGAAACAAAAGATGTGTTACCTTTCTTTTTCGCAGCTTTGGGTGTCCTTTGAGAGGATCCTTCTCCTGTTGCCTTCCTCTTTCTGGATTTCTTAAGCACAACCTCTGGAGCTGGCTTGTGCAGGTCACAGATGTTGATTTCTGGAATAGTCCCATCTTCCTTGCAATCTCTGGAGAAGCATTTATCTCAGAGAATAATGGAAAATCCTTCAGAGGGATTCTCCTAGATGTGATGACCTCATGAGAAGCAATTGTTGGTTCCTTCTTAATGCTTTTAATAATCTTCATTTTCTTCAGATTCTTGGCATTCAGTGGTTTCCCAGCAGTTGCTTCCAGAGTGCTGATCACTTGAGCCTCTGTCAGATGTTCTATCAACCTGTTTTCCGTCAGAAAATCTGAAATCAATCTTCCCAGAGGAATCCGATCCCTCTTAGTTCTTTCATCTTCTCTTGTCTCTTTCACACTTGTTCTCAGATGGTTGAAGAGAAAATATGGAAGATTTATTTTGGTCTTCTTTATAATGAAGTATAACAGAAACTACTGATCAATATTGATGTAATCAGGGGAGCTTGTAGGCTTCCTGTGATTGATACATCCAAGAATGATCCTAGCCCAGATTATGTAATAATCTTTCAAGTCTCTGATCTTGCTGGATGGCTATCCAGAAGTGAAAATGACCCTAGCAATATATTTTAGGTCAGGACACTTATCAGCCATATCAATGCATCTGACTCCGCCGCCATTGTATCCAATGAGTTTCCCAATCAAGTTTTCTGTAATCACTATCTTCTTCCCCATAACATATGACGTGACCTGGTGGTTGGATGAAGTAGCATAAATCCAAAACTCTTTAACAAGAATGGAAAAAGTTGGACCCAACAGACGATCAAAGTATTTGTTCCATCCCCGTGCAGATACATCTTCATACAAATCAAACCCGTTTTCCTGTAAACTCTCAAAGTCGATGATCAGTTCACATAGAACTTCAAGGTTGTCGACCGGAGTGAGCAGTGTTCTAATGGGCTCCTCATACTGTTCTGTTGACGAAGAAAAAGAAGCATTGTTGAGATTCTTGAGGCTTGATGAGGATGCTGTTCACACGGATTCTTTGAAGAAAACTGATAGAAAGGGTTTTTGAAAAACTAGAGTAAGAGATAATATTGAAAGCAGTAAAACGTGAATGAAATAGTAAATTGAGTTTTATAAACATTTTTGAAAACGTAATCAGTAAGAAAGAGAAAATAAGTAATGGTTATACTGAATTACTGAAACCTGAAATTAGGGGATTTCGTGAGATATTGAATAGTTACCAATGACAAGTGTCTCAATGCATCCAATCAGAGCTTTGGACCCTTCAAAATTTGAACTCGTGTTCAGCCTCAGAAGGTAGTTTGTGAGAGGATGACAGATGTTTGATGGTGTGAACTACACG